CTTGCACCCATCTGTCCCTAAAAAGTGTTTCAACCCGGTTTAAAGAAGAAAAAAAATATCTACATCAATTTTTAAGGACTTAATTCTAATTTTGAATATGAAATAAATTATATTATAAAAAAATTATCTTGTATGTACTTACGATATTTAATAAAGATTAATTATTATTTTTAACATTAAATATTTCATATCAATATTATAATTATCTAGAAAACATAAAATCTCTTATATAGTATTTATTGCAATGGTGTAAGTAAGTATACCAAAGAAAAGTCCACAAATTTTTAATGTACCACATAAAATTCATTTTTTATTAATTACTTCAACTTTTTTCTCATAACTTGATATCTAGTAATTTAGGATGAAAGTTATCTCTACTTTATACATACATCCATACATACATACATACATACGTGTGTGTGTGTGCGTGTGTGTGCGCGTGCGTGTGTGTGCGCGTGCATGTATGTGCGCGTGCGTGTGTGTGTGTGTTGATGTTCTAAACAAGCGCACCTAAGTCTCTGTAGTATAATAAAAGGTTGTCGATCCTTATGCACTTGGAAAGTAAATCTTGATTTCTATTGTACTAATTGCTACTTGTTGATTTAAACTTCGACTATTCACAAATGTTAAGTAGTTGATATGAACAGTAAATTAAACTTAAGTAAACAGAACTGAATTAAATTTAAAGAAATACAGATATTTTAAGCAGTTGGGATTAAATTTCATCAATCTCCCTCCTATGCATTCCTAATGATTCTTGCAAATAATTTCATTGTTCATTATCATTGAGTTCTCTATATTCATTCTGAACCAATTCCTTGACATAAAAAATTCTAAAATATTTAACTCAATGAATGATTCCTCACTTCATCTAGTTAAACGTCTCGCATTAAGAATCAAAACTTATTGCAACTATCAGTTTCGAAACCATTCCTAGCTTTCAAAGCTAATAGGTGATTCTTCAAAACTAGATGTAGAAGACGTTTTCCAACCAAATTCTAAATCCAAGATCAACGATAAATGATCAGTTTATCAAAGCATTAAGAACAGAATCTGAATCACTGACACTGGATAATAGATATAATATATATATATGAATCAAAAAGGAATATACAAGAGTTTGATGTCAATCAAAAAGTTTCAGCTCTCCATAGTGAAGGAGATCACAAGTGAAATCAGCAAAAATAAAGGTAGATGGAAGAGATTAATCCTAAGAACTTCGTTCCCACGAGCTCCAGGGTGCTACGTTTGGTCTTTCTCTCTCTGTTCTTTTTTTCACAAAACCTTCGATATCTCTTTTTCTCTCCTCTGACCCTTTTATATGTGCTGGAAATAAAATAGAGCATGCAAGAGAGAGAAGAAACCGCTCAACGCCTGGGAACCATTGAGTGGATTGGAGAGTCCTTCATCATGAAGAAATCCAAAGGGTTGAGCCCTTTAAAAGCGTTGAGCGCCTTAGAGGTCGAGACTGCTCCATCTCCAATGGCCAAATCACTCAGCCTTTCTAGGGCGTTGAGCTCTTTTGCCCCTATTCCACTTATGTGCTCTCTACCTTATTAAAAGCGCTCAGTCCTTTAACAAGGCTGAGCCATTTGCTTCCAAGGATTCTTTCTTGTTTCAATCTCCAAAATCCACAAAACAAAGGGAAATTTGATCATAAAAATCATTAATCCCTACAATCACTTCAATTAAAGACCCTTTTTTATTCTATTTATATTTGTCATAATTTTATCATTCTAGTTTAAAAAATTATGCTAGATAAGTGTCTTAATTCAATATTTTCTTTAGACAAAATTGACACTTTTATATATATATATATATATATATATATATATATATATATTATTTTTAGTTGGTTGGTGTGAGAGTTGATTTTTTTCTTACTCTTACACTTTAGAAATTGTTTAATAGTTTAACAATCGAATTAAGTTAAGTTTTAATATCATCTATATACATACCATTTTGATACTATTGTAACTAAAATGTGACTTAAATTTTTTCAATACATTTTGACAAACCTAACTCGAATGATAAGGAATTATAAAATTCGTTTGGTAATTTGAAGAACATAAGGTTAAAGTGATAAGAAAGATGTATATTCAAATTTTTTCAATAACATAACACTTAAT